GCTGCAGCTGAATACGTCACCACCGAAGGCTGCCAGAAGGGAGGCCTACGCTTTCCCAGGGCCGACGGCCCCTCAGAATTCCAAATACGTCCATCACACGAACAACCGTCTCTCCCCACTTCCCAGTACGTGAGCCGTCGTCCTTAGGATTCACCACTTTCCTCGCAATGAAGACATAATATTTTCATAGTAGCATCTTCTGACATAAAAAATACAATTTGGAAGGAGTATGAAATAGGACAGAATTTTAGGTTTATGGAACATAAATCCATAATTCATATTATTTGCTTACGTTTTCATCCATGGTGAGGATATGGAATTTCAGTGCTTGTAAAAGAAAATGAATGAAATGTTCATTTCAAATTCTGCCTCAAACAAAACACCTAGGAAGCTCTGTGTTTCAAAAAAAGACTGAAGTGCCTTCCTTCACCTCATTTCAAGGTAGAGACAGACGGTAGCTGGGCAGCCCACACCCATCTCCCAAGGACAGAGATTCCACCCTCCACAGGCCCGTCTGACGCCCGGGTTTTGCTGGTGGGTGGGGCTTGATCTCGCAGCAGCTGTGCTGGGCAGTGGTCCACCCATGGTCCCCTGGCTGAAAATAGCGTTGGGCCATTTACATTTGCGTTGCTTCTAAAATGCCACGAGTGTTCACCCCAGAGCCGGGAGACCGGACGCTGGCCTCTCGGAAATGAGCCGGTTTGCTGTGAGCTCCCGAGGCGCCCCCTGTGTGCGCGGACCGGCCTCCTCCACACAGAGCTGCGCTCCTTTCCATGCCCCTCCCAGAGCCTCCACTGTTTCTTCAGCACGTGTGAGCGCACCGCCTCTGTCCCTGAGTCCGCGCCAGGTGGCGAAGCGAGTTACCGGAGAGACCCGAGGAGAGGGAGGGCGAGGTGCTCTGACTCGGGCAGCACCCGGGGGAGGGCAGAGCGGGGGCGAGGGGCAGACCCCGCCCCGTCAGGGTTTCCGCAGCCCCGCTCAGGCCCTCGTCTCCCCCAGGTGAGCACCAATGCCCATCTAAATAAGAGGGCAGGTGACTGTCACTCACATGAACTCGACCAGCTGCTCTTAGGTCTAATCCACACAAACTTGGGCCAATCTTCGAGTTGCTTTTCCAAAGTCACAGTAAGGCTGGGAGAAGCACTCCCATTCCTCCTGAACTTTGTCTAACCGTGCATCTTCCTGTTTACGTACTAACTAAACACCTGTGACTGTAAGAAGTGAACTGGTAGTAACCGAGATTCGCTGAGCGCCCCCCGGGTGGGCTACACCCACCGAAAGCCGGGCCTCGGGCGGGGGCGGGAGGCGGTGTGCCGGCGTGGAGGCTCGCGCTGTGCGGCCGGGTGGGTGCGCAGGACTGTGGACGGAACAGTCCGCCCCGTCCCGGTGAGAGTGGTGGGGGGACCGCCGTGGCTTTGTCAGGGTTTTCCACGACGCTAGGTGATTGTTCACGGACACCTTCGCATCTAAAAGCTACGCTTGGTAAACAGGGCAGCGCCCTGCAGTCCACAGAGCAGACCCACGCGGCACCTCTGGTCCTGCCCGTGCCGGCCCGGAGCCCCCGACTGTGTGCCCGGCCACGCACAGTGTGGCCGCAGGAGTTAGTGACAGGCAGTGAGGAGACCTGTCTCTGGAAGGAGGCTGCCACTGCCACCTCTTAGGGGACCATTTGGGAAAATCCCGCCGAGCCCTTCAGCCCGTTGAGTTGGGCCTTTGCCACAAGCCCCACCTTCCCGACCCCCGTCCCTCGGACTCAGCCCCGCCCCCCGCAGCTCCCTTGCTGTTGCCAGAGGGCTTCCTGCCAGGAAAGTCTGTTGTTAGCGAAACCCTCAGGACCCGTGTCCTTCCTGGGCGTTCCCTCCCCATCCCCCTCTAGCGGACCGCTGGCCACCTGCACCCCGTCTGCCCGGCGCCGGTCTGCTGCCCCCTGGCCGCGGAGCCGGAAGCAGGGACGCGTCCTCTTGGCCCCTCACTGGCACTTCCAGACAAGGAGGCCCTGTCTCCTCCTCTCATCCCACCGTCTCCCTTTCTTCTCTGTTGGAGTCCTTCACCTGCCGCCACCTGTCACAGATGGTGCCAGATGGCTCACTGACCCGGCCGCACCGCTTCTCTGTCCTGAGGGATGGGCCCTCCCAGAGATGGCTCCTCCTCTCACCGGAGAACCGTCGCTGCCATTTCCAAATTCCGCAGACCCATACACTTCTGAGCCCCAGGGTCTACTCCATGACCACTGTCTGTTTCAGCATCCAAAGCCATTGTTGTGTCCTCACTTCAGCCCCATCCAGACAGTTGCCCCCTGGACTCTGGCTCTTTCTAGAGGACACAGACCCTTTGGTCCCTTTTCCTGGCCAAAACTAGAGTCCGTGATGCCATCTGTTCATTTGGCAAGCCCCAAAGCTGGCGCAGTGCACCCCTTCAGTGGGCGTCCTCTGCACACACCTGAACCCAGTGTGAGAAAATGAACGCAATGACCCGTCTCTGCCCGAACTTGGGGCCACACGTCTCAGGGGCCTGGCGCACTGCCCGCTGTTCTGGAGCAGGACTTCCGCTCGCTGCCCTCAAACCTCACATCCTCGTTCTTGGCCAGTGACCTCACTCACTGTTCCCCGAGAAAGTAGGGTCATTCAGGAGAGAACGACCTCGCATCTCCCAAACCACGTCTTTCAACCCTTTCTTTGAGTCATTTCCTAATTCATATAATCTAGTTTTTCCTTTAAAAGAATCCAGCCCGTTTAGGTTTTCATGACTGCTGCTCCTTCTTCTTTTTTAACGTCCCAGAATACACAGACTCGTCCCCGCGGAGAGGACCGGCGAGGGCGTTCTGTGGGCGCTGCATCAGCAGTGCCCAGCGAGGCCCAGAACTGGGTTCCGGAACCACTGCCTTTCCTGCGTCCGTGTTCCGACCTTTGTAGGGAAGTCCAGCAGTTTGTCAAGTGCAAAGGTCCCTGACTGTCCACTTCAGACAGAAACCCCAGTCACCGCACTGGTGCACCCCTGCCGCGCCCGGAAGTGACTTCAGCAGGACGCATCTCACCAGGAGACGCTCGGCCGCACTGGAGAGACGGGCGGGTCCACCTCTGACCTCAGAGGAACACTTTTCCAGCTGCTTTTCTGCTCCATGTAAACTTCAGGAGAAAAACCTAGATAGTGGGCTGGCCAAAAAGTCTGTTTAGTTTTTCCGTAAAATAAAGGACATAGTTTTCATTTTCACCAGTAACTATTGATTTGGATATTCTGTGTACACCAGCTTACCTCTTGCATGGTAGAACATTGATTTGTCTCAGTTGATGTTTTGATTGGATCACCATCAACCTCAACTGGTTTACCCGACTGTGGAGCATCATTGACCAGGAAGAAATCTCTAGCACGAAACTTCACAAACCACATCTGACACGTTTGATCCATCACAGCACCCTCTGCACAGATCCTTTTTTGCGTTTCAGTTGCGTATTTACCTTTCTTGATATAATAAGGCATACTATGCCGAAAATGACCATATCTTTTTCCATGTTCAATGTTAAAATGGCTGCACAAAAATCCACCCATTTGAGTAAGTTTTTTAAATGCACGCTGGTGTGACAGCTGTCACAATGCAATCTCACAATATTTTTTGAGTGAAGTTAAAGACAACTTATAACTCACAGAGCCAGCTTACAGGGAAACTGAATTAACTTTTTGGCCAGCCCAATAGTTTGTCAGTGCAGGGTAACAGTAGGAACTAAATTTTGAGTGGTAAAAAGCCAGAAAGATAAATTCTTAGCATTCAGTTACATATTGTTCCAGCACTGCTGGTTGTCTGAGTAAATGTAAATTCTATGGTTAGCTGAAGAGGTTCATGACACATTTATTTCATAAGCCAAGTATGACTGGCTGATACTCAACATGAGAACTTGACCTCCAGGCCGCCAGATGGACCTGCCACTTCCTAGCCAACAATCTGCTTCTTTAAAAACATCAAATGCCGTTGACTCTCTGCCACAGTTAACCTTTAACATGGGTCTGTAGCGCAGTGAGACTTCTTTCTCTTTCTCGAGAGAGGAAAGGGTGTTGTTTTTCTTTCTTTTCTGGCCGTTTGCTGAGCAGTGGAAACCACGCTGTAAAGCAGAAGTGTCTGCAAGACAGAGACGCCTACAAAACGGTCTTTATTTTTCCAGTGGGCACTGGCTGCTCTTGTGGGGCCCAGTCCCAAGAACAACTTCACCTAAACCGACGTCACAAGACACGCGGGAGCCTGGAGCCCCTCCTCCGCCCCGTCTGGTGGTGGCCTGACCTCTGGCCCTGGGTCTCGGGGTGCCTCTGCTCCAGGCCTGACCTGGGACTTCCACGTCAATTAGGACGATATGGAAACTTTTCTGAAGTGTCCTAATAATCTTACTTTTCTTAGAGTTAGTCACTCAGAAAATCCCCAGGCACAAGAGGAGCAGAGAAAACCCGCGGGAAGCTGGGCTCCCGTTGAGACTGTACAGTGAATTTCCTTGCATTCTGAGAACTGCTTTGGTCCTTGGCTGCGGCCTTCGTTAGATTCTGGGAAGAAATGTCCTATCGAAGGCCGGTCAGAGTTTACGGTGCCTTCCATTCCTGGGTCCCCTCCCTCTGTGATGGCTCTGATTACTCGGTTCTAGACACCAAGAATCACAGAAAAATGTTGGTCTGCCTGTCCTGCCATCGCTGGTGACTGTGAATTCCAGTGTGACATGGGACACTCGGTCTGAGCCTGCCGGAGCCAAACTGGACCTGGGAATGGAGACCACGTCAGGGCAGCCCGGTGGGTGGGTGGGTGAGAGCAGGCGGGGACTAGTGCCTGGGTGGGCGGGGTCACTGCCTCACCCTGACGCAACCCTGCACTCATTCACACATCAGTTCATTCATTCACACGCTCAGTCGGGCGCACTCCTTCAGTTGCTCCTCACACTCTGCTACTCCCCTGAATCAGGAGCCAGATCTTAGTCGGAGGCTCAAGGTCTCCCTGAGGAACCAACACAGGAAGCAGCAACACTTACTTTCCGGTAATAAACTGACTCCTGGACGGTGTGCAGATGGGCTGGACGTAGTAGTTCTCCAGCTTCACCCCTTCAGCAGCCAGCCTGTCCAGAGTGGGGGTCCGGATCTCCGAGCCGTGGTAGCCTACGTCCCCAAACCCCTGGTCATCGGCGAGGATGAAGATGAGGTGCGGCTGGGAGCTGACGGAGGGGCTGGGCGGTGGTCTGTGCTCAGCTTCCCGGGCCTCCTCTCGGCTTTGGGTCCAGCGCGGGGGGCCACAGAGGAGCAGGCTGAGGACCCAGAGGCCTGCCCGAGCGCTCATGGCCTGTGCCCTTCAGACCCCTGGCCACATGCAGACCCCTGGGGCCATGCGCTCGGGTCCCGGCCGGGCCACTGCGCCCCCAGGAGCACATGCAGGAGGGGGAGGCCTGCAGGGCTCCGCTGCGTCCACGTCAAGTGACCTCGATCTCCTACCAGTGGTGGCTCCTCGGGATGGGGGACACGGGAGCCACCCTCTCCATCACCTGTCCATCTGTCCCCCTGGAGCGCGCAGCCTCCTCGCCGTCAACCTCGCTGCCCAGAAGTCCTCAGGAAAAGCATCCAGGAAGGGGTGGGGCATCCCCCGGGCGGCTCTGTGTGCCTGAGCCCTGGACCTGGGGCGAGGCTCCCGGGCCGGTGGACAAAGGGGTCCCCCACCTAGACAGAGGCACCTGGCTCTTCCCCGGCAGGTGAGGTGCTGCCCCGGTGGCTGCACTCACACCAGTCACTCCAGTGTCCACCGCTCCTTCTCTGGGTCCCTCCAACACGGGCCCATCTCCTGCCCTGCCCGGTGCTGGGCACAGTGGGGAGACGGTTTCCTGACCACCCGCAGGGCGGACCCCGTCCTCGGGGAAGGCGCTGCCGGCGGATCCTCGCAGCACCCTGGCCCCGCGGAGCCTTTCCTTGAGCCTAGGCTGCGGCCGCCCGCGATCGGTCTGCTCCGGGCTGGGTCCCCTCCACCCCCACTCAGTGAATGAATCACCGGCGGCGCCGCTGCTCCAGCTGCGGGTGGGGGTGGGGGGAGCCTGGGCGCTCCTGCCACTTCCTCCCCACGGGCGGAGGGGGGCGGGCGCTTGGGCGCTGTCCGGGCTCTGGGAGGGAAGGGCCCGCCGTCCCAGCCCCAGCTCCCGCGGGGACAGAGAAAAAGTCGGAGACACCGGGGCTCCCGGGTCCTCTCCCGTTTCCTCGACTCTTCCGCTCCCCCCGCCCCTCCTTGTAAGTTTTGGGCTGGATTCCGAGCCCCGGGCAGTGGGCAGCCCCACTCCTTCCTGGTGGTGGCTCCCCACCTGCTGGGATGCCCTGTGCCCCCCCCCACGCTCCCCCCACTCCCGGTCAGAGCCCGCCCGCCGGGAGTGGGAGGCAGGCAGCCTGCCGGCCCGAATCGCTGGGGAAGGACTTGGTGCCTCTGCGCCGCGCGTCAGCAGCGGCCCGGAGACCGATTTTCTTTCCGCAAATTTCTTCAGCAGTTACTCACTGAAGACCTACTGTGGGTGCCACATTTTCCCAATTGCTCGAGTGTGAATCTAAGTCTCACGGAGCCATTTACTTTTCATCCCTTCCTGTCGCTGAAGTTCCCAGTGAGTTTCCAGGCAGAACATTGGTGAACTGCAAACGCACCCCCAGGGCCTGGTTAGTACTTGGATGGGAGCTTCCTGCACAGAATCACAGCTTTGGTTTATTCTGGCTTCGATGTGGTCAGATCACACACATACTCCTCTAGTGATGGGACTGTACAAAAATTAAAGGTAATATTTGATTCAGTTCAAAATTAGAATGAGAATTGCTGAGAGGTGCGGTTAGTGTGGACTGATTGTTCAGGTGAGGCTTAATGGGGGTGGGACTGAAGGGCGTGCCTCGTGGGGTGGTGGGCACTTGGAAGGGAGGAGAGGAAGTTACAGGAAGGTTCTTCAGGGGGAGGGGGAGAAGGTCAATGGCGGAGGCGTGTCTGGACCGGATACCGACAGGCTCTGAAGAGGTGCACGTGGCTGGACCTGGTTGGGGGCGTCAGGAGCGATGGGGTCCTTGGAGCAGGACGGGAAGTGTGGGTGAGTCTCGTGAAGTTGTCTGTGGGCTGGGTTCACGGGGATGACAGCTGCAGGGGAGCCCCCTCGGTCCGTCAGACTCTGAAGAGCTGTGACTTTACCGAGAAGACTCAGTCCACTGAAGGCTTTGGGTTGCAGCAAGAGATGGTGACACGCGAGGACCAGAAACCCCTGGTCGTTTTCAGGGGCAGGTTTGAGGGAGTGAAGGCCCACACACGCCTTCCTCAGTGTGCAAGCTTTCACGGCAGTATGTCCCATGGAGTGAAGAGCTGTGCTGTGGCTGTCACCCGATGGCAAGGGGCATTTGTGCAATGTTGAGGGCAAAGCCATAGACTGAGAGGAAAGCAAGGGACAAGATGGGACCCTCTTCGATGGGACGATGGAGTAAAAGGAGGACGAGCTCAGGGCCCCGCAGGATGCTGAGTGGCTCCCACGGAGCGCAGATGGGAGTAAGGCGTCCAGGTGCGGCCTGGGCTCCTCAGCGCACAGGCGACGGGAGCGGATGGCCCGGAGTGCGGGGTGGGGTTCAGGAGTGGACGTGAGGGGCCGTCAGTAGACAGAGAAGCTACAGAAATTACAGGGAACAATGAACTAGTTGCACAGTGTTTCTCTGACAGCGGCATTTCCTGCGGCCCCCAGGGGCGTGGACAGAAGCACCCCCTACGCAGTGCCTCCCCCGAACAAGACTCTTGCTTGATAAGACAGTGTGTTGGCCACAGTGTGCGCCTTTCTCCCACCGGCTTTACTTTCCACTGAACGCAGACTCAGATGCTCGAGAGATGCAGCTACTTTTAAAATACAGGCTCAAAAAATTGTGAATATGGGCAATCCAGGGATTTCTAGACTATTGAAAAGATGTAAAATGCAATTGCTCCTTCTTTGGGTTTATAAGTACATTAAATACTTAAAAATGAAGGAACGTCACCAAGTTGCAATTCGCACAGTCTAAAAGGGACGTTTGTCCTCATGTGGTCATCCTGACCTGGACCCCATGCTATACACTCCCTCCTAATCGTTACCGGCCCTCTGTGGGGTGTGGCGCTACGGCTGCTTGGGGCCATTAAATCATCCCACGAAGTAAGAGCCTCTGAGTGAGACCGAGTGGGGTGGCTGCCTCACTAACAGTGAAGTGAAGAGCCCTTCCTTTTGGGGGGAAGCCTCTGCTGAAACAAGCTGTAATAACTCGTAAAGAAACGGTGGCCAATGTGAGGCCCTCGAGTTCCAGCTGTGGCTAAATGCAGCTTCCCGAGTGCTTCTCGACCAGACTTTGGGAACTAGACACTCAGGAGTCACAGCCTGTGAGAGAGGAGGTCTTCCTTGTGCTCAGGAAGCATCTTTATGTGAAAGGAGCTGGAACAGAAATTTATAATGGGAAGGCTCAGCAGTTCCCATGGTTTAAAAATCTGTCCTCACTGCTTATGTTGCAAAGTTCTGTATTATTTACACAGCAATTTTGTGCTCACAATATCAATTCCTAAACTCGCCTTTGAATTAGAAACCCCTTAGGGACTTGTCTTCCTTAAAGGATATCCCCAGCTCCACCTCTGACCTAAATCAGCGCCTCCCAGCCTGGGAGCACCTGTCCCAGGTGACTCTGGGGTGTTCTGAGTTTACATTTACAACCTCAGGCATCAAAGCTAAAGACCAAGTATTGTAAAGATGGTTGAAAGCACCCGTCAGTAAGCTCCTCTGTGCTCCGTTTTTCTCATTTGTAAAATGGGGACAAAACAGCAGCTGCTCTGTGGTGTGTGCTCAGCTGTTAGCAAACAGTGCTGCTAACACACCACCCAATACCCAGTGGCTTAGAGCAGCAAAAACTCGCTCTCACTGGTGATCCAAGCACCTGCTGGGCCAGCTCCGCTCCAAGTGCTTCCTGTCTCCTCCTGGGGTCAGTGGTTGGAGCAGGGGAACGGGCCGGCCTGGTAAGCTCATTGCAGCCTTCAGCTTACAACATGCTGTGCAGTCTCCAGACCAAGCCAGAGTGTGGAGGAAACATGAGCTTCCTGGGATGAGGCCCCAGCAAGCTGTCAGCACAGGAAAGGGTGACGAAATGGGCAATAGCTAAACCAACCTATAGATTTCTATCTATAATAGAAATCATGGAAATAGCCTTAATAGCAAATAAGAACATGGGTTAAATATTGGGTTAACCAAAAAAGTCTGTTTCGTTTTTCCATAAAATAAAAGACACATTTTCACTTTCACCAGTAACTTTATTAATTCAGATGTTTTGAGTATGTTGGCTACCTCCCACGTGGTAGAATGTTGATTGTTCTCATTACTGTCTCAGTGGGATGGCTGCCAACCTCCCCTGGTCCACCCGGCCGTGGAGCATCGTCCAGCGAGAAATCTCCAGCATGAAATTTCACAAACCACTTTTGACGTATTCAATCAGTCACAGCACCTTCTCCACACACTACACAAATCTTTTCTTGTGTTTCAGTTGTATTTTTACCTTTCTTGAAATAATAAAGCATAATATAACATAAATGTTACGTATCTTCTTCCATCTTCAATATTAAAATGGCTGTACAAAAATTCACTAATTTTGATAAGTTTTCTTTTTAAGTGCACACTGATATGACAGCTGTCACAGTGCAATCTAACAAAATTATTTTGAAGGAATAAAGACAACTAAGTGCTTGAGAGCCATCTTACAGGAAAAAAAGCATTTTGGCCAACCCAATAAATTATAGGTCATCAGCTTCATGCAATTCTGTGACCATTAGAAGTGATAATTATGAACATAAGCAAGAACTTAAAATGTATCTATAATATAATGCATAGTGAAAATAAGAATGTGAAATATTTTGTATACAAGGACTCCATATAAAATGTGTATGTTAACCGTGTTAGATGGATGTATATATATTTCACACACAGTTGGGCAGAGACTGTTAGGAAGAGTAGAGGGTAATGAGAAATAAAGAAGAAAGAAGGAAAATCTCCCAACACCATTTGTCGAAGAGGCTATCTTTACTCCATTTTATGTTACTGCCCCCTTTGCCGAATATTAATTGACTGTAGAGGGTTGGGTTGATTTCTGGGCTCTCTGTTCTGTTCCACTGGTCTATGTGCCTGTGTTTATGCCAGTACCAGGCTGTTTTGATTACAGTGGCCTTGTAATACAGTTTGGTATCAGGTATTGTGATCCCTCCTACTTTGTTCTTCTTTCTCAAAATTGTAGCTGCTATTCAGGGTTGTTTATGGTTCCATTTAAATTTTTGAAGTGTTTGTTCTATGTCTGTGAAATATGTCATTGGTACTTTAATAGGTATTGCATTGAATCTGTAAACTGCTTTGGGTAGTATGGACATTTTGATGATGCAATAGCCAAGAGATGGAAGCAACCTAGGTGCCCATCAGTAAATGAATGGATCCAGAAACTATGGCACATTTACTCAATGGAATTCTATGCAGCAGAAAGAAGGAAGGAGCTCCTACCCTTTGCAACAGCATGGATGGAACCAGAAAGCATTATGCTGAGTGAAATAAGCCAGGCGGTGAAAGACAAATATCATATGATCTTACCTTTAACAGGAACCTAATCAACAAATCAAACAAGCAAAATATAACCAAAGACCCTGAACTGGAGAGCAGGCTGACAGTGACGGTAGGGGAGAGGGGAGGGAATTCCAGGGGGAAAGGGGGAGGGTTTGCAGGAACAAGTATGAAGGACACATGGACGACCACTAAGGGGGGTGGAAGTGGGAGGGAGGTGGGGAGCACTGGGGGGTGGGCTGCGAGGGGAGTAAAAAACAGAAAACTGTTCTTGAACAACAATTTAAAAAATGAGTATAGAAATAAAACTGATTTTTAAAATGCAAAAAAAAAAAAAAAGAAAACTACCCAGTGCTGTGAAGGCCATTTCCTGGGGCACGAGGGGAGGGCCTGAGTCTTGAGTCTGAGGCCAAGCACTTCCTCTGTCCCTCTGCCGTGGGGCTCGACACGTAACCTCCGTGCTTCCGTGACCCCAGTGAAAATGGAGAGCCAGGCCAGGCCCGACCCTGATGTCACCACTCCTGTTTCCCTTGCGTACCCTTTTCTCTAGCTCCGGTGGGCAGCTCCCAGGTGTCGGCGGCTCTCTGGCTGCACGGGT